GGTGCGCACGACAAAGAACAAACCAGAGCCTCAACCGCACCCCAACCATTTGACACTAAACACTCTATCAACATGTTATCGTTTAGTTCCCACTAGCACTCATAAGCATGCAAAGGTCAATCCAATATTCGTTACTTCAACGCAGCCTCCTAAATCTCCCTCCCTCGCACCCTGACGTAAGCACGTAGCCCTCCTAATCTCACCATGGCCAATGCCTCCTTTGCACTCCCTCCGTACAGGCCCTGTTCACAAACGCAAATCAAACATAATTAAACTAATCACCCTCCCCAGTCCTAAACTCCGTAGCCGTTTTGGCTCACCATTTCCATGGACATCGACCAAGACAGAGAAGTCCCTGTCTTGGCTGAGGGCGATGCTCACGATCTACCAGCCATGTCCCGATGGTCCGTGTTCTTTGTAATTGCTGCTCGGGAGTGGCAGAGGCGGCGGCTGCGCAATGTTTGGGATGACCTGGACGAAGTGTTCGGCACAGAAGTTCTAGAAATGCCACCACCTCGGATCACTTGCGCAGTTGTTGCGCACTGGACTCGGGTACGTGAGAATGAGGTTGATGTGCTAAGCCCTTTCGCGCAGCAGTGGTGCTCACATGCCCAGGAATCGGTTCGAGGTGCACCATGTGGTTTTATTGTTCATGCAGTGCGTGATCGCTTAATGTTCGACTCAGCTTGGCGTGTGAATGAAGCCGTCAGTCAAGCCATGTGGGTGTGTGGGCTCGGCTGCAGCAAGTTCTACATGAGCAGCAGTCTAATGCCCTCGCTGGCCACAGCCTGCCTGCAGGAGGACTTCTTGGCGCTGCCCTGGTCGAGGGCGTACCTATCCATGTATCCTCCACCATATTATTTTGGCAAGGCACGTGGTGCATCATGCAGATACCCTCCATGTCGTTGCAGTGACTCGCAGGTTGGACCATGCGAGTCTGCTGGCAGGCGGCCCCAAATGAATACGATTTCCAAGTGGAGGGGGACGTTGCCGGCAGCGCCATCGCAATCAGCAGCAAATGCAACACATGATGGAGGCTCTCGGAAACGCAGCCGCAGTCACCCTCTGTTCAAAGTTCGTCTTCAGAATTGCTTCGGACGGACAGTCTCGTGTGACGTCGTCTTCAATTGGATGGATGCAGAACGGCACTTGAGAGCCTTGAGACGGAAAGAAGAGTCGTGCGAGGCACACGCCGAACTCTTAGCCCAGGGTCGTCAAGACTCAACAGAAGATCTTTTCAACGCTCACGCATCTGAGCTACGAGACGATCAGGAAGTCCCGCGACAGGCTGGGCATGGCCAGTTGTCTTCTCTGGCGGGAGTTCTGCAATACGTCAAAATGTTTGGATCTGTACTTTGGTGCGACTCGAGTCCTCCTCGGAGAGGATTGGAGCTTTACACTGCTGTGGCCGATATTGCCCAAGCCGGCTCACTTTGGCGACGACTCTTGCTACAAATATGCTTGCCGAAACGGTTGTTCGGTAGCGTCGGAAGAACGTTTGCATTTCTATGGATGCTGTGGTTGATGTTCGTGCCGACCTACGGCCGCAGAGTGGATGTCTGTAATCACATCAGGAGCTTGACGACGGATCTGGGCACAGAGGCACTCGTGGCCATCAGTGGTGATATACTGCAAGACTTCTTTCGCACCATCGGTGGGTACGTGCCGCCTAGCGCCATGAGGCGCGACATTTTTTTTCCCCGAGCTGTGCGCGTGCCTGGATGTAAGCATGTGTGGATGGAGTATTTCGTTTCGGTATGTATTTATACAAGCGGTTTCCGTGGTGGCTGGAGAGACTGAATCACATCTTGGTTACGGAATCGACCAAGGCACGTTGGGTCTCCAATCGGCCTGCCCCGTGACGGTGTTTCGTTTTGTAGCAACAGCGAAATACGACGTGTATTGATTGTATGAAAATCAAGGTTCCAATCTGGAACGCAGGCTTTCGGGTCCTGGGTGCCGTTCGAGCCTAAAGGCATGACTGGTTATAACGCATAGGCAAACACAATACGTACTACATTGTGTAGGGTGCGCGTTCCTCGGGCGCGGTTGGTTTGCTATTCGTGCTGCCGAAATGCCAGAAACTGTGTAGTGGCCCACCTGCCGTGGCAATGTGCGTGCGCGTGCGCACGAACACACACGCGCACACATAGACACACACACACGCACACACACACACATACACACAGCGCATATGTAACACATGCACCTCCCAGCTCGCAATATAGCATAGCTCGGCGTCGTTTCGCAGTACATGTGGCGCATGTGGCGCTACTTTGTAACGCTGGCCTATGCAGGCTTGCTAACTACTCCATGGATCTCAGGAGGCGAGGCGTCCACGCACTTGCCCAGATGGTGGAAGCAACGAGCGTCCCGTCGTTTGCCAAATGGCGTTGGGGCACGAAACTTGTGATTGCACGGCATCTGGGGCGATTCATCCACCCGTTCTCGCGCACTTGGACTACTGAAGGGCAACCCCCAAGCGTGGACGAACCCCAAATTTTGCACTTGATGACTGACGCATTTTGTTTTTGAGAGTGGATGACTGTATTCAAGTTCTTGCATTGTGGATGGGTGGGTGGGCTTCTCACGTAGGGTCTTAGCTGCTTGTGTCACATGGCCGAGCTCATGCGAGGCCAGAGCGTTCACTGTGCTGAGAAAAGGGTGTCTGTTTCACATCGTACACTCGCACGCTGCCGACGTGTTGCGGCGACATCTGAATGACGCTAACGGGTGGACGAGGGAATGATTCGACGGTTGTGATGCGCTTTGGCGTCAGTTTCAAGGCTTTGTTCGGGCCGTCTACGCCCACGCCCACCAGCAGCTCGATTGCTACCAGCAACTGCTCATAGCGATTGTTGTCTGGGCGAGCCTTGCATGAGAGACGTCATCATCTGAAAGTTCAGGTCGCATGCTCCTGAAGCGCACGAGGTGGCCACGAGGCTCACCCGTCTTTTCTTGGGGGCATGCGCGTTGATGTGGACGCCATGCTCCTCGACGGCTCGGGCCTAAACGATAGGGTCGCCTAGGAGGCCCTGGGTGCTACCGCAATGGTATATACTCCTTCCTCCCGCCTCCCATCATCATTCCTCCTCTTTCTCCTCCTCGTGCCCTGCCCCTTGCCCCCCTCCTCCCAGCTGCCCCGAATAGATTGTGGCCCTAATGTGCCTAATGCGTGGAGATGGCTCATGCCGGTTTCCTCTGCCCCCCCCCCAAGAGAAAACGACGTACTTGCAGCGGGCCTCGAAGGAGGGGAGGAGGCAGTGGGGAGGAGGGCGAGGAGGGGAGGGCGAGGAGGAGGGCGAGGAAAACGATATTGTTGTGTTTTTTAGGGCCTAGGGCCATCGCCCCAGTAGCTATAGCACAGAACCCAGATTCTTAGCATCAGGCGGGTGCGCATCGACGTTGGCGTCGGCGAGGGCCCGCTTTCGTGGTACAAGTTTGCAGATGCAGCGAGAAATAGTGGTTTCGTTTGGAATGCGTCGTCCATGCGACTGGTCGACAGCCTTCATGATTCCCGCACTCTGCCAGAGGTGGAAGGCCTGAACAGACAAGCCTTGTGGGACAACTACTTGGCTTTTCTACAGCCGAGCAAGCGCGGCAAAATCACTGGCAGAGTTGCCGTGCGGCAGTTTTACACACTGTGTGGACCACTTCAGCTGCTGCGACCTGCCCGACGTTAGGGGCGGCTGCGGCCCAGGTGGCGGCGACGGTGGCGGCAAAGGTCAACGTAGGTGCCGCTCATGCACGCACAGGTTCCTCTGCAGATCCCCTAGGGCACGGTCAGGGTGGGATTGGAAGGGATGGAAGGAGGTGAGCAGGATGAGGAGATGAGGAGGAGGTGACCCTCTACTAATCCACCTGACCCTTTCCCATCATGGCACTCTACGGGGGCCCTGAGGAGGGCTCTGGGCAGTTTTGTGGGCGGCGCCTGAGTTCTTAGTTCTCAGGCGACGCCGACGACGACCATGGCCATCCTGGAGGGAATGGCCGTGGCGACCGCGAGCTGTCTGCCATAGACGGCGACGGTCAGGTCGAGATGAGCGCCCAAGAGCATGCTGAATTCAGGATGATTTCGGAATATTTGTCGAGCTCGCTTGAGCCCTTGAGCCCCATATTTACATCACGAAAGAGGTGACAGTGGACGGCGTCAAACGGTTGCTCCTTTTCCAGTGCTTACACTTCGGCGAGAGGAAGAAATTCATCCAGTCATATCAGGACAGGAGGGGTTTCAGCAGGGGTACTGACGTCACTGTGCAGTTTATGGAGGTCTGGGGAGGAGGTGGCGCTGCTGCCACGTCCAACAGTATTGACGTCTTTGCTGTGGAGGTCCCCTGCGTTCTGCCATTGGTATCCCTCGCTGATGGGCTTGGTGTCGGGCCTCGGAACGCCATGCTCCGATGGGACAGCGCTCCTCCCGAACATGAGGGATGTCTAGTCATGTGCAACCCAACGGAGCTGCTCCCAAGAGAACTCAAGCAGTCGAGTCCTGTCGTGCCTGTACTGGCCCTCCTCGATCACCTGAAAGAGGAAAGTTACGACGGGGTGGGCAGGATACGGATCCACGTGCCTTGTGGACCCACGCACTACGATAACAGACGTATCCAGAGCAAGTACTTGAAGTGCGCCATCGGGCAGGCTGACATTTTTCAAGAAAGGCGTTATATTGTTCGAGGCGACGGCGACAGCCGCCTGGTTCAAGCTGTTGCAGGCGAGCCCTGAGCCAATCGAGGCTGGTCTCTCATCGCAGGAGTGCCAAACCAGTTGCGAGAGCTGACAGGTCTGACCCCTGGTTCTGCATTGGACGTGCCAGCGCCCCTCCCGCCGCCGCCCGCTGGTGTTCCACAGCCCACCATTGAGGACGTCGACGGAAGTGAGCCGTCTGAGCATGGCGGCCACGAGGGCGACGGCAAGCGCCCTTGCATCGGCGACGCAGGGCCTCATCCAGAGTCGCCGCCTCCTACTCCAGAGCCAGTCCATCCAGGACCTGCGCCACCAGG